AGTTCATGACGTATTCACGTGAACTGTCGAATCCAGAGTCAGGTAAGCTATTCGATATCACACGCACAAACAGCACAACATTAATGGCTTTACTCTATCCCACAGAAACTTCCGATTTGCATTCAACCGTATCCACAACCAATTTGCTGAGCCACACAGATCTATCCTCGCTAAGGCAGAGCGCGCGTACTGCTTCTTATTCGTCCTCGTCGGACGATGATGAAATGATACCAACAGCCGCAGGAATGCCAGCAAACAGAGGCGGTGGAGGCTGTGGCTCGGGCAATGGTAATTGCTGTTCGGGAGGTTCCAGTGTCGTTACTACACCAACAACAACCAGCACTGTGGTGGTGGACATTGAGGATCTTTTGAGCCGCAGTCGCCAGCGTAGCAATGCTGTTAATCCGAAAGATCTAGACAAAATCGAAACTGAGCCGGCAACAACCGAAGCGTACGTTAAATGATATTCATTTCATATATTCCTAATGCAAAGTACTTATAAATTTGCTCTCCTTGCAGAACACGCAATCACATGTGCAGCAGTTCGTTCAACTGCGGCCCCAGCACCTCGCGCCAAAGCTGTCAGACGATTATCGAACGCTATGAGGATCAGACACGACGAGGACTAGAGCCGCTGGAGCACACAAGCGACTTGGACGAGCATCAGACACTGAAGCACACCGTACTGCTGATTACTTTGCTATGCTCCATGTTCGTGGGTCTGGCCGTGTCCATTTGGACATTGGTGATGGAGGGCATGTCGGGCATATATCTGGAGCTTAGTTTCCTCGACGCTTTTCTCAATTTCGGTCAGGGTCTGATTGTCTTGGCCGTGTTCATAACAGACATGGGAGAGCTACTCATGCCAGTAGTCAAGCTCTGGAGGAAGTTATGGCGAGTTTCAATATGGTAAACTTTTAGAATAGCTTTTGATTTGATTTTAATTGACAAACAGGTACGGAGCGAATATTGTCAGCCTGCCGCACTGGTCGAATGTTCGTCCCGAAACGAAGCACATTTGTGAACAGTTTCGCAATCATCATTTGGAGAACTGCAAGAAGGACATTGCCAAGGACAGAAGGTGGGTTTTTGGTGGCACGATTTATACCATATTTTTGCCAGACAGATTTTTGATCTTTCGTTGAACATTAGCTAACTTATTGTTGTGTGTTTGTGTATTTCCACAGGTGGCGCATTCGTGTCTATCGCAAGGTGTTCTATGGCAGCGAATTTGTCAGCTGGCTCATCGAGGTGGGCCTCTCCAAGGACCGCATGGAGGCAGTGCACTATGCCCGGCATTTGGTCGATGGTCGGGTGCTGCGACACATCAACAATGTCTATCATTTCGAGGACAAGCTGCTGCTATACAACTTCTGCAGTCGCATCTAAAAGGCAAAGCCACAAAATGATGAAGCAACTACGCCAAATTTAGTTCGATTTTTGTTTAGTTAACTATATGTTTGTAGGTAATTTTTGTCTGCTGTGATTGTATGCGCCCCGCCCCGCACACACACACACACCTGCCCACACACATCACAGCCTAGTGTGTGTGGGTGGGTATGTGACAGAGAGAAGGTGATCCGAGAGGAAGAGCTAGTGAAATGTTTATAATTGTCCAAGTTTATATTTTTTAATGTTTATTCACTAAGTAGTGGCCTTGGGTACACCCAGCTCGAGCTAAATATAGACTCTATAGTGCAATATAGAATACCGAATACCTTAACGAAGGAGAAAGTATTTCAAAATGAGAATAAAGTTTCCTAAACTAAACCCAAGAAAAAGAAAAACAACGATATCCTTGTCACAAACAAGAGAAAACTGTGCATAAAACGTTTGTGGATGTTGACCAAAGCCATAAACGAATCTAATATACAATATATATATATATAGCTAAATATGTATGCGCGTACCTGTAGTAGTGTGTACACCCAACCCATGAATAAATATATAAACGCCTCGAAGCGTGGGGCGCAAGAACAAAACATTTACCATGCATTTGTGTCGCATTCAATTTCGACTTCGATTTAAATCTTAATTTGCATTGTATTCCTTTGGGAATTCGGTGGTTGTTTTTTCCGATTTTTGTTTTTGCTTGTCTTTAGGTTTTGCCATTTTTGTTCGGATTTTGGTCTTGCACGCGTCGCACAATTTGCGTCTGCGTGTTGGAAATTTCAATCGAATCTTTTCTGTCTGTCTGGCTGTCAATTCCGGACGCCGCGGCAGCTCTATTAATTGTTAACCCAACTTAATATTCTATGGACGATACACAGAGGCAATTTTTTGGTATGCGCCTGCCTCCCATAAAACACTCGCAGAGGAGAGAAATCTCTAGTCTTCTCTGGGACAGATTTCTTTATACAATTGACAGAGTTCTTGTCTGTTTGTCATGCAAAGTAATGGCAGAATGCAGTTCTTATTGAATCTGGAACTTTGAACGGGAACTATGGGAGACTTTAGCCACAATCACGACATAGGCTAAAGCTTACTCACCAACAATCACTGCACCGAACACAGAACATGCAATGAACTGATTTATTCAGAGTTTCGAACTCTTCTTCGACAGCTCTTGCTTTTATGTTTCCACTTGAGTCTAGACTCCAGACCTACCCGAACAATAAATTATAATTAATAATCATTGTAAGACTGTTTTTTTTGCTCTTTGCTCTCTCTTCCATATTCAATTTTTATCTATGTCTGGCAATAAATTGTTAAACAAATAAATGCAATTGCACAACTGCAGCTGTGACTCAGTTGGGGTTCGCGGCAAGTATCCCCCCAGTTGCACTTCTAATCATTAATTGGGGAAGCATTATCTGGACAACCTGCAGTTATCTGCAATGAAACCATGTGAACCCAATCAAGCCACAAGGCCTGGCTGTCTGGCTAGCCCGCCCTGGAAGTCGTTTCGGCTATGGCTTCTCAATGCAAGAAGTATTACATATATCATCAATTGCATGTTCTAATTGTAGCAACTACGCAACTAATGAATCATTAAGATTTGCCTTTATCAACAGGGGGATGGCTGGCACATTGAGGCACCAAACTTAAGCTCGAAGGAGCACTTCATATTTGTTGATGAATCCGTGTACCATATCTTTTGGTTATTTTATGATTTTCTGTTAATGACTATCAAACAGAAATATAGTATATGATGTACAAGTTATCTTTCTGTTGCTCTCCTCATGACATGACCTTATCTTTAATGACTGATTAAACACGTAGAATCAATAGAACTCTCACTTAAGTCGCTGTTCGAAAGCTATATATCGGACACAAACACAGGCACCCACTCGAAAGGTATTAGAAAGTTTGCGGGGGGAATACCCAGAATCAGGGGAATCATCCATGACCTCATACCTACGCCCTCAAGTGTGCCACACACAGAATTCTGACCCATTAATCAGCCGCTTTATGCCTCAGTCCTACAAATAGTACGTTATTATTTATTCATTTAATTTTGGCAAAACGTACAGAACTCAGTCTTTGTCTCCTGGGGGTTTGAGGTCAGTCAACCCTTGAGCCGACACGACCAAAAAGCAATTGTTATTTGTCTCAAAGGCACCCAAATCGTGGGCCGCAGGAGGGTACAAAATATATGGGCTGCTGTCGCCCCCGGCATCCAATTTCGAGCCTCACAATTAATAGAGACACCAAACAAATTCGTAGCTAAGGATAACGAGAACAAGAACATCAAGGCATACAAAATTTAGGGAAAACATTGCGGTTTTTATGTTGCCCTTTGGCCGGAATTAACTAAATATAGTCCTAGCAGCATGACGTCCAACAGGATGGATGGAGGAATGGGGAGTAACAATTTGCCGGCAGGACGACGTCAGCATCCTACACCCCGTAGACTCATTAATTCCATCTCTCTCTAGATGACCCGGAAAACCGACTCTTGATATAGTCGTAGGCTCTGCCCCTTCCCTCTCCCACTCGATGCAGCATTAAGTTTCCATTTGCGCATACGGCGCCGCATTTTACCCCTCCCTAAATGGATCTTGACATTGGCCATATGACGATTTGGGGCTTCCGCTTCGCTTCGATGCATGGATAATTTAGCGATAAAACTGCGAATAGTATGCGGGAGCAGACTTTGATCTTAAATCGAAAATTACACAATTTAATTCTCTCAGTTTGAATTATTACTTCGATTTAGCTGTTTTTATTGGATTATTTGCGCCACCGAAATGCATAAAGTTCGCCTCAAAATTACACGAGAAATTACAAATCGAAAAAATCTTAATTGTTAATTTTTGCGGCAGGGAAAATAACACATTCAAGCAGACCGCAAATTGAATGCCCTTTCTTTTTTAAAGCTGGGTACTGAACTACTCATTGACCATCGATAGGAATTAAGAGTCATTTAACTATTGGAACTTTCTCTTCCATTTCCTTGAAAGGGACATCTCAAAGGCTCTCTTAATCATAATTACTTCTATAAGCAAATTCTTTTCTGTGGCATCATACGTTAAGAAGGAAATCCCATATTTCATCACTAGCAAGCTTGTCATCCGATTTCGATGCAGTGATTCACACGGAGTGGGTCTGATAATGCTCCGATTTTGTAAGCGATGATGAGAGTGCCAGTAAGACGCTTGGGAGTGCTGTAGGGTACACGCGTAAAGCAATACAATTTGACTTGCTATTTTGACCGTACACACACGTCCATAGACGTTGGCACGAGCTGTGCATTTTCGATGGGGTGGCTCCCGCTGACAGTGGGGTGTCCGAGGGGTGGGCCACCCAGAGCGCCAGCCCGAGCAACGCCAAGCACGAGCGCCGCACGGGCACAGCCGATGCGATCCGATCCAGAGCCGAGTGTTTGCCAACTGTTGAGTGGACGAAGCAGCAGCATACGATGAAGGAACCTTATCCAGCACCCACCCACCCATCTATCCAGCAGCTATACAGCTTTTGGCAGAGCCAACCAACAGCAGCAGCAGCAGCAGCCGGCAGTAGTGTCAGTTGGCAGTGGCAGTGGCAGTGGCAGAGCCGAGTGCTTTGCGGGACAGTCATTCTAATTCGAGGCCTGGCTGACTGCAGACGCACTCGGATCCACGGAATCGAAGTGGGAATCGGAATAGCACACATATTTGGAATTAGGATCGAGGCGGGCAGTGGACACATCGGACGGCTAATCAAACGCATTTTGGCCAAGTGTCGGGCGGTGACAGGCCAGACAGACCGATATACAGACTCTCTATGCCAATCTCTAATGAAGCAGTGTTTTAGCTAAACAGTTTAATTTTGGCTATCGAAACGAGTTTCCAGCTTCCAGCTGTGTGTGCGAGTGTGTGTGTGTGTGTTGTGGCAGGCTCATTTGTGAAAATATTTAATTTGCGGCTCAACTCTGTGGCAAGACACATTTTCACCTGAATTGCAATCAAGTGCAATTATCAAACGAACAGCCACAGAAGACAAAAACAAACATAGAGATAATCACCATGGCTGGGCAGACATCAAACACCACTCCGCTGCTGGACCTGCTGCTGATCGACAGTCAAAGCACCACCGCTGCAGCGCCGCCGGCAAGGGCTCTCTATGCGAATCGGAACCGTTTGATCTTCAGCCTCATTGTCATGGGTCTGGGAGTGTTTGGAAATTCGCTGGCTCTGGTTATTTTGGCGCGCAAAAAGCACAACAAGAACAGCAAATATACGCTCATGTTGCGGTAAGTGCTAAAAAATCGAAATTAGTGGAATGTTTTCTGATTTCATAAGTGTATTCCAAATATTTTTGTGGCTAACTGAATATTAATCAGAAATTGTTCACATTCCCCTGTTTGTGTCCTTCGATTGCCTTTCTTTTGTATAGTTCTGTCTCTTATTTGTTGCTGTTTCTCTCAGTGTATGCAGTAAATCTATTAGCCTTATGTTTGCCACTGTTTGCGGCCAGTTCATGGCTGTGGAGTGAGTTTATTCAACCCGTGCTCTGACTCTTGGGGCTCCGACTAGTACGACTATTGCCTATGCGGGCTCCGATTTACATATTCGGAATTGTTTTGCTGGATTTTTCTATTAGAATATGTTTACTCTGCTCGGATCAATTGCGTATCTTATCACTGACGGGATGGAATTCGTCCATTTGCTAGCCACGTGATTCCGTGGATTTTCTACGTTGGAGTCTGTTTCGACATATGTATTTGAAAAGCATTTAAGGAGCATGATCCTAAAGATTAGCTAGGATATGGAATATGACCACATAAATGGTAACTCGCGACTTGGTTTTGCAGTTTCAAATTCCGTTCAATTTCACAAAAAAATTCCTTGAAATTTATCCCAATTTATTGCTCATTTATGAGCATAAGACGACCACCCGGCCAGATTCACTGAACACGCCACTCTTTCGTTTCCTCTTTCAGTTTGAGTTTTCGCTGAGACAGCAGTGCGTATGCGTAATATGCGTAAATTGCTTTTGACAGCAATAAAACAAATTCCACTCCAGAGGAAACCTCTGCACTTGAAGGCTCCTTTCGCTTAAGCCCTTTGATCTATAATTTGATTGATGGAACGCGCCCAGTGATTGACACTTGAGCTGCGTCGGCAAATCAGAACCAATCCCAATGACATCAGCAGTAGGGTATGGTTTCCCCCCTCCCTTGGAGTAAGTCTCCTCACATTACATCACACACTCAAGTAAACAATGATTGTGCCCATTGCAGTTTCGCCAAAATCATTTCGCATTTCTCATTTGGAAATTGAAAATTTGGAACATTTTAGCATAGTCAAAGTCAATTCACGCCCTCTAATGAACAGTTCCGTTCAGCCGATTCCACTGAAACTTTTACAGCACACACACCATAAATCTCTATTTTTAATAGTTTAATGGGTACATAAAGTATATGTACCTGTACATACTGTAAGTATATAAGACTCTACACTCGCATGGAAGAGGAGGCATGCCTATGCCTAACAATTAGCCGTGCCTTTGCATTGTAAACCCTCCCCTACAATATTTATTCTATTAATGGGAATGCACTATTTATTATTAGCTCTGTGACAGACAGATGATTTTTCCATGTCCAACTCAAAATAAACAAAGAAAATTGTCCACAAATGATAGCTTTTACGATAGTAAAATAAAGTGTAAGCTGGGACTTTTCCAGGTCCGCGATAAGATAAAAATTCAACTAGCTGTGAGAATGTTGACTTGGGAATATGAATGAAAACTTTGTTATGATTGTGATGACGTGCTAAGTTATGAAAGGTAAGTTTCCTTCAAGGGCACACTATACTCAGGAACTATCTAATCGCCATTTAGTAATATATATTTATGGTTTTAAAGTGCTTCCTTCCTGTCATTTCGTTCAAATATAATATACTTTTATTGGTCAAGAGAGCAGCAATAATATCTCAAAAGCCATCTTAACACACGACGTTCTTTTATGTATCCCTCTCGCTGGCACTTTTTGCTACTTCAAATACCCTCTATAATGGTTATTATTCGTAATTTATTGTTATTTAATGCAAAGTAAATTGTATGATTATACATTTCACTCTGCTGGGGGACCCATTGAGCGTGGTTTTAGACTCTCGTCACGTCTGTTGCAACCAAAATGGTTGTGGTTGTACAGCTCCCATATGTGGACTAGCTTGAAAGGTTTCCGTCTTATCAAAGTGGTAATTAATTGGATATAAAACAGGTCTTTGACTATCTTCAATCTAACACGAAAAATCTGTCTATTACAGCTGCCTGGCCACCAACAATCTGGTGGCGCTGTTGGGTATGCTGACCACTTCGTTGCTCAAATATAACATGTACAAGGAGGGAGATCACTCGGACATGCGGCTGGACTGTGTGGGGCATGTAGTATGGCGCTTTTTTGGCCTCAGCTCTGGATGCATTGCAGCCGTAATGGCCGCTGAACGTTGGATGGCGCTGGCCCGACCCTTTATCTACCACAAGGTTGGATAAATTAACTTTCTGTGCTACTAGATCCATTTAAAAACAAGTCTCTTCCCTACCATAGCACATCACCTATGAGTTGATCCGGAAGAGCATCAATAGCATTGTGATTGCGGCCTTGATCATCACCTTCCTGCCCTTTGTGGGCTTTGGTGCCTACATGGACGAGTCGAATCCGGACAGAATGAAGTGCATACGCTACCGTGATGCCGAAGGCTTCTGGAACAAGGCCTACGCCGTGGTATTTATGGTCTTTGGTAATGCAACATCTTAATACTGTCTGGCTAAAGCCTTGCTAATAGAATCCCCTCGTTTAGGCACCCTTCTGTGCATCGTGATCGTGACCTGCAACCTGTTCGTGGCGCACACCCTGCTCTGCGTGATTGGTAAGAGTCGAACGGCCAAGCGGCACATGCACTACGACTTGGTGGGTCGCGACAAGGCCAGTGTGCAGAGCATCGATCCGGAGAGCAGCAGCGGTACCACACTCTACCAGACACAGTACAGCACTGGCAGCGGCGGCAGCCATCACAGTGCTCCACACAGGCAGTCATCTCGGCAGTTCCAGCACAGCGTCAGCGTAACGATGGCAGGCACAGAATCCTCGCCAGTGGAGATCAAGTTTGCCAAGCTTATGGCGTTTCTCAGCATCTCATTCGTCATCTGCTGGATGCCACAGATGGTGCGTGGTTCTCAGCCCCGTTAAGTTTTCAGTAATTCAAACTCAATCCATTTCTTCTCCACAGATTGCCATACCCTTGGCCATTGCACCGGATCGAGTTGACAAGAAAAACGTGTTCTTTCTTATTGCGGATGTCCTCACAGCGCTGCACTTCACTTCAGATCCGTACATCTATGTGCTAAGTCGCTCCAAGTCCATCAACTGGTCCCTGCTGAGTTGCATCAAGCGCTGGCGCAGCGGCTGGCGACAGGGCGGACTGCGTCGCTCCCAGAGCGATCAGAGTCGGATGCGCACCACAATGACCGAAGCTAATACTCTCGACTGTAACTTTAATTGAGATTCCACAACCAGCACTTTCCCTGCACCGAAGTACTTAACTTTAACTTTAAACGTAGGTTCTGTTTGTGTGTACACCACTCTCTAAGGATCCCTTTTCTAGTCGTGTAAGCTGTAAATAATATACCTTACTTTGAACGAGTATTACCATATCAAGGCTTCTCACTTTCATCACATAATCTAAGAATCGAAAAGCGATTTGATCAACAATATGTACATAAATATGTGTAATTATTGCATTTGTATAATAAAGTGTCTATTGTATATATCTTTCGAATGGAATACAGCGAACAGAATAGCTAAATGGATCATTTGGGTGCAGTCCAACATCAAATTCTCTTACAAATGTATACCCTAAGCCTTTCTGTATACAAGTTAGAAACAATTGATGGAACAAGAGTTCTGAATCCTTTACATTTTACAACAAATCATTCAATAATTCCAAGCAGTATACAAATCAAGTGTTTTTACTTTACAATTACGTTTGTTTTCTTTTTGTTTATTTTAAAATTTATATGATTACATATTTTGAATGGTTTCTTGGATTGTGTGTTTGATGCATTGTAGAGTATCGGGGACGGGGACGCGCGGTCGGGCGACATGAGCTTCAGTTAATGCAAAAGTCATTCAATCAATCAATCAATCAAGTTGTCTGTCTGTCTGTCTTCTCCCCCGACAAGAAGTTCGTCTTCAATTACAATGTCTTCGATTGTTTCATCTCTCTTGAGATGATTGGAAAAGTTGTATCTCATTCGTTTTTCCTCATTCATTCATTCTTCTTTGCTTTTCTTTTCATTCTCTCATTTCTTGTTTGTGCAAAATGCCATGAAAATGTCAAAAGGGAGAGTTGTGTGTAATGTGTGTGTGTCTGTGGAAGGGGAGCGATAATGGGGTGGTTGATCGGTCCATGCGATGGAGTGTCTGCTCTGCCTTCTTCCGGTTAATTGTATATAGATAAAGATTATGTTAAATTATGTTTAACTCTCATCGATCCGATCCGAATTCATCCTCGTTTCGAATTCGAATGTATCCTCTTCCGCCTAGTAGCGGTTGTAGCGGCCACGAGCTCGCTGACGCTGCGGCGTTGCCTTTGGACCTGCGGCAGCACGGGCGGGCGTGGCCTTCTTAGCCGGCGATGGGGATGCGTCTGGGGCGCCTGCTGCTGGTGCAGATGAAGCAGGCGTAGCAGCAGCAGTCACAGCCGCCGCGGCAGCCGGAGCAGCAGCCTTGGCCGGTGTCTTGGCGGGCTCTGCCTTGGCGGCTGGCGTAGCCGTGGCCGTGACAGGAGCTGCAGCTGGGGTAGCAGCTGCGGGCACTGGCTCGGCTTCTTGCTCGGCATTGGCCTCCTCTTCATCTTGGGCCTCCATCTCCTCCTCGCCATTGTCCTCGCCTTGACCATCCTCGCCCTCGGCACCTTCTTCATCACCTTCACCTTCACCTTCACCCTCACCCTCTCCCTCGGCGCCCTCGGGATTTGCCTCGGCCATCTCGAAGTCCTCATCATCGCCAGTGGCCTCCGATGGATCGTACAGCTCACCCTCACCACCCTCGGTGGTCTCTCCCTCGACAGCGGTGCCCTCGGCGGCAGGGGTCTCAGCCTCCTCGATCTTGCGCTTCTTGCGCTCGTTCTCCTCCAGTGCGGCGGCAGCGCGCTTCTGGGCAATCTTGGTGTCGCTGGACTTCTCGTTGATGAACTTGAGGAAGTTGCGGTGATGGGTGGCTGTGCGGGAGTGGATCTCGGCGGTCACCTCAGTGTCGAAGAACTTGCTGCAGACGGAGCACTCGAAGCACTCCAGTTTCGAGATCAGGCCGGCGCCGACGGCACGCTGCCAGTTGTACTTGGGCAGACGGAGGTCCACCTCGCTGGGGATCTCGTCGCCGTCGAGGAAGTCGACAATGCAGTCCTCGGGGTCGACGGGAAGAGCAACCTCTTCCTCCTCCTCACCCTCGTTGAGCTCCTCGCCCTCCTTGGTCTCGTCAGCGGCTTCCTCGCCCTCCTTGGGCTCCTCACCTTCGGCCTCTTCGCCCTCGGCTGCCTCTCCCTCGGCACCAGCCTCCTTCTTGACCTCAGCCTCACCCTCCTTCTTCACGGGCTTCTTCTTGCGCTTCTGGGGCAAACGCAGATCGCGCGTCTCCTCCTCCTCGGTGCTGATGGGCAAGGTCTGGCGCTTGCGCTCACCCACCTTGGTGTTGCTCTCGGCGGCCTTCTTCAGATGCTCTGCGGACAGCAGATGGGTGTCAAAGTCGATGCGTGTGGCGAACTCCTTGTTGCACTCAATGCACTTGGGGTGCAGGAACTTCTTCAGCTGAAGATGTCCCTCCGACTTGCGATGGGTCGAGATATGGCCGTGGAAGTTCAAGTCGCACATGGTGCAGTAGTCCAGCTGGCGCTGCTTGCTCTTGCCCATGCGCTTCAGGCGATCGAACTCAATCGACTTAAGCTGCTCGGCGATCTTGGCCTCCTGCCGGATCATGTTTGCCTTCAGGCGGTAGCTCTCCTCAATGCCCTCGCGCATCATCAGATGGGTGCGTCCCTTAATGTGATTCTCGAACGAGTTGGCGTCCCACATGTGCTTCTTGCACAGATGACAGTAGAACATATCATTCGGCACGGTGGCATACGGCGAATCCTTGGACGGGCTACACATATGGAGAAGGATCATTGGAGAAATAAAGAAAAATAAACTTCATTAGTATGAGCTCTCGAAAATCAATGGGGGTCTGGTCTGGCTCTAGGGAAGACAATACAAGATTAAAGGAGATGGGAGAGTCAGAAGAGAGCACTTCGCGCTGCAAAAAATACTTATGATACGTAGGAGCACAGCACAGGCGGCAACAACAGATGATTTACACATTTATGTATATAGATTCTCATTGAATACATAGATCAACATCAATTTGTGGTGCTTTGATTCGATGATGAGGTCGTTATGGATGACAATTTTGATGGAAAATCAAAAGAGAAATGTGCCACAAATGTAATGGTATAGGCGAGACCCTATTCGAGCATTAATGTGCATCTTCATGCACACGACATGTATTTTGTTTCAATTACTTTTGAGTTTTTCAACTTTCATGACATATTTCTCTTTTCACGTATAGTACAATTAATTAATTACTTAAGTTATTTTAGCTCAGACATAAAAATTATGATTTTCTACATATAAAGAGAGACACTACGAAGTCAAAAAGGTAATGTAATTTACTGGTTGGAGATGTTCGTAAATTAAGATTTAGATAGAAATTAATTGACGTCTGAAGATTGTTCCCCTTAAGCATGTTATGTATGTAAGTATAAGAATGATGGAGGAATATAAATACACGAGCTTCAGTAATAAGGAATCTGCATATTTTGAATTGCTTAATCTTGACTGGGTAATCTTAGAGAATTCCGTATTCCGGTTCTTATATTATTAATCCATTACTTTGACTTCGTAGCGATTCCCAACAATGAGTTTCAAACTGTACATGAAGATACAGTGATTTAGCCCAACCTTAAGTTTTATCTTTTATAAAAATAATACTACTCAAAAAATACATTAAATATATGTATAGAAATGTGTATGTTGGGTATGTGTAATATACCCTCCCAATGGGGTAGTTCACCCTCGTACAAAGCACACACATACAGACACATTGAATGGCTTGCACTAATATAAAGAGAGATACAGAGAGAGAGAGCATCAATCAACAAAAGGGATAACAAGGAGGGCTCCCTTCTGAACAACAATTTCTAAATCTATATATAGAGAGATATATACTATAGAGATGTACATATATGAGGGATCGCAATTTTTGAAGATTGGAAACTCGAATTCCTAAGTACTTATCTAGTTAAATAACACTCATATTTAGGTTTTTCGTTTGGTGAAGGAATCAAAAATGAATTCCTTTGATTTTGGTGAGTAAAATAAATTGATTCTGTTGGTAGATTTTTGTTTTTTGGTTTCTTGTTTGGAAAAGTTTGTTTGTAGTTAGTCTTACCTCTCGATTTTCTTTTCGCCAGGAGTAGGTTCCTTCTTTTTATTTTGATTGGCATTTTTGGCCAAAAGTTTCTTGGCACGATCAAAAGCATTTTGCTTGCGAATACCGCCGCCGCCCTGCTTTTGCGGGGGCTTGGGACCACTACTGCCACCACCAGTGGCGCCACGATTCTGGAAGCCTCCCTGTCCACGACGATTATTGAGACGATTGCCAGCACCGCCGCCGCGACTGACCATCTTTATATATATAGTATATAGTGTGTATCATTTGATTTAACATTTTACAATACAACATTTCATTCAACAAATTGCACATGGCACATGAGAATATTTCAGTTGGTTTTTGTTTTCGATTTTAAACAAAAGAGAGCGACACAAAAGTTAATTTCAACATCGTTATTCGAGTATCGTAATCGTATCGAGAGATATATGAGACAACAAATATGGCATTTTTGGGGCCATTTACAATGTTTTTTGTACGAGTGATTTTACAGAATCAAATTTAGATTTTTGGGTGGGAAAATTGTTACACAGATGTATTACGAGTAAATACATAGATATATATTGTTTATATCATAGATTGGTATATAAGTTTGCACATATAGCACATTATAGTTATTATTTATGTTGGTGGCATGGTCAGATCGGCGGGGCAAGAGTGGTCAATCAGTCGACGGGGATATGATACGCGCCATATATATAAATGATATATATATTTGTGCAGTTGAAGTCGTTGGCGTGTGGCGGGCGGCCAAGTGTGGCGTGTGGCATTTTTTGGTTGTTTGAATAAAAATGGAAATCGGATTTGTGATATTTTTTGGTTCGGAACATATTTTCATGTTTCGGTCAGAGGCAGGAACGTTGAAGAAGAATTGGCGACGAATTTGCATTAGACATTTATGGATTTTTTGTGATATTAAATATTATAATTATTGTATTTCGATATGCATTCAGTTGTTGCAATTTGTTTTTCGTATTTCCCGTTGCACCATCAAGCAGTGTACCAGTACCAGATCGGATCGGTTTGTTTCGGTTTTCAGAGCAGAGCAGATTAGAAGAGGGTTTTCATTTCACACAACCAGTAAATCAATCAATCGAGCGAGCGAGCAATCAATCAGTCGCATTGGAAGCATCATCGACAGCATCGTTGGGTGGATGGATTCACATATTTTGTGTGGCATAGTATTGTGTGCGTACGCGCATGCGTGCATGTGCATGTGCATGTGTTGCATTTCGATTATTTTCAGGGTTGCGCCCAAGAGTTAGGAAATCGAATGTTTGTA